AATAACAGCTAGTATTAATATAACGCTTTAAAGTGATTTAGAAATATCTCATTTTACTGTCACAACTACCCTGAGAAGTAAGCACTATTATTTTCCCCATTTCACAGATGAAGAAATTAAGGCAGACGGAGATTAAGTGACTTGCCTAGGGGGTCAAGCGTGTAATTAAGTGTCTACAGCTAGATGTCTGAGGCTGGATTTGAATTTAGCTCCTGCTGACTCCAGGTCCGTTGCTTTATCTATTGTACCACTTAGCTGACTCCAGCAAAAATAAAGATGTAATTTCTTTCCCATCCAAGTTCATAAAAACCCTGAGATCTAATCATGGTCTCTTTTGATAACCTAGCCCAGGTTAAGAACCTCTGCTATAGAGGCTTGAGAAGCAAAAAAATAAGAGGAGAGAGGGATTTCTCAGAGAGGGAAGATATTGAAATTTTCTAGGCATCTATACGGTGACAAGAAACCCAGCGCAGTAAAAATGAATATTGTATCATATGAGAAACAGAAAACTTGCATCCTGTATACAAAATGAATTATAAAACAGGGAGGTGACACACTAATATCTTAGCAAAATTAGAAAATGGTAGAAACAATAAAGACCCAGGACTGTTGACTGTTACTTTGTTTTGAAACAGCTAGGGGCACAGTGGATAGAGTGCTAGTCCTGGAGTCAGAAAGACCTGAGTTCAAATTTGAATTCAGACATTTACTAGCTGCAGCTGTGTGACCATGGCAAGTCACTTAACTCCTGTTTGCCTCAATTTCTTCATCTGTAAAATCAGGATAATGATAGCAGCTGCCTTTCAGGGTTGTGAGAATAAAATGAAATAATCATAATTAACTAAATAATTATAACTAACACAGTGCCTTGCACATAATGAACACCATGTAAATTATTATTGTTCTTATTGGCATAAGAATTACTAGCAAAGCATTTTACCAGCTTTCTTTGAGACACAAACCTAATACAATCATTCTTAACAGAAGGCATCACATATTTACTACCAAAAGATGAGAACATTAATGATCCCTCCAAATAAAGGCCAATTACATGTTTATGTACTTTATTTAAATCATTCACAGCTAACATTACACAAAAATCTATAAATACATGTAAGAAAACAAATATATTGGCGGAGGGAAAAAAAAGAGTATGTCAAAAAATCTCTGGAGCATAAAGAGTGACTTATTGATTCAGTGATTATTGAACACACTGATTGAAAAACCATAATATTTATGCAGACTTTTAGGTTACTGCAAAGCCTTTGACTCAATCTCACATTCAGTGCTTATTTACTTATTGAAAATATATAAAATAGACCCATGTATAATGAGAACACTGGAGTATTTGATGTCCACCTGGAAAACTCTCTATAAAACATATCACCGACATAATAACTTCAGGAACAGCTGACTTAAAATGTAGCATTTTTCAGAAAAATCATTCAAGTTTACTAGAGAAACCCAAGTGGCACAATGGATAGGACACTGGGCCTGGGGCTAGAAAGACCTGAAATAAAATCTAGTTTCGGACACTTACCAGCTGTGTGACCCTCAGCAAGTCATTTAACCTCAGGCTTGCTTCAGTTTCCTCAACTGCAAAATAGGAATAATCATAGTGTTTACTTCTCTGTTGTGAGGATCAGATGAGATGAATTTGCGAGCCTTCAAGTGCTATATAAATGTTGTCTATGATGATGGTGATGACAATGGTTCTCCCCTCCTTAAATCTATCATCATCTTTTCTAAGTAGAACTACGTATGGCTTCAAAAAGGAAGAACCAAAACATTTTATTAATTACTTGATGTATGTGGATGGTATTAAGGCAGAAGAGCCTTCAGTGAAAAATGTTAAATATATTCATCTCATGTAATCTTTCACCAGTGATTTCAAAAGTCATTTGGACTTGATAGATAGAGAATTCTTAATCTATACCAGGGAGAGGTAGAGCCTGAAGTCTTGAAGCTTTTATTAATAGCATGCCTCCTCCAGAGTAAACTGATCGCCTGAAATCTCACCACCATGTTGACTGACGCCTCAACTCCCTCAGTTGCCTCTCCATTCTGATTGGAGGGTAGAACAATAAAATCCCAAAGCCTGGCTTTATAGAAAGGGCTCAGAACTTTCAGAAATTTCCAGATGACTCCCTATTTTCTATCAGTGACTTTGTTGGTTTCAACTGCACAGAACATCATGCCTCTGGTCCAGGTGCCCCCTGATGGCTATCTTTTCTATGTTGCTTTCCCCCATTAGACTGAGCTCCTTGAGGGTAGGATTTGTCTTTCTTTTTTTTATTTGTATCCTCAGTGCTTAGCATAGTGCCTAGCACAGAGTAAGCACTTAATAAATATTAGTTGAATTAAACTGATCTGAAATCAGAAGGTCACATTGAACCAACAGATCAAGCCGATAAAGTTATCCCTTCCACATTGGGATTTCCTCCATAGTGGTTTTGATAGATCTCCCACTGTTGTACTGAGAAATCAGCAAGAGAGACCCAGACGTAATTTAAAATGTGGATTTATTAGCACGCGGCTGCAAGGGGTATGCACATCCAAATCAAGCAGCCCTGATCAGGGGTCGAGCTAGGGTTTATATGGAAAAGATCATGGGAAAGAAATGCCAGGAACACTGATGAGGTAATCCATAGGTGCAGGTGTCTTTGGGGGCTGTGTATACCGGACAGGGAGGGGGATGGATCTTTGGAGCCTGGCAGGAGGAAGAGTCCTTGGGCTGGTCAAGGACACCCCTCTCCCTCTGTCTTGATGAGAGAATGCTCTGCAACAAAGGAAAGCTTTCGCACAACTAAGGAATTGGGAGGCTTCCAGAGACATGATCTGAGGGCTGGGGCCTCAGCAGCCCAGCTCTGTGTAGCTGTACCCAGGAGAGAGATAAGGGTCATGCTGAGGTCCATGCATGAATAACTGCTAGACACAGTGTCCTTGGGTTGGGGAGTGGTTGTCAGAGACAGTGTTTCTGAGACTAGAGAGAAATTGGGGCACAAGTATAAGCACAAGCACCCGAGCACCCCATCATTACAGGTCAGGGATCACACAAACCAGACCAGGTGTCCTGTTTTCTGGTATAAACATAATTATCTAAAGCAATTATATTGCAAGCTTTCTTATCCATTCGTGTTGGAGGTATGGGCTGTGCTGAGCTATGCAAGAGTACATTTCACTATTGTTTAGATTTAGGAGGAAAGAGGTCTGGGGCAAGATTAAGCAGTAATTTCTGCTTTCCATGGCTTAAAGGGCCTTACTACCTAAATGGTAAAATAATGTTCTGCATTACACCATCGGCTTAAGAAATCAAATAGGAATTTTCAGAGAGTTTTGCAGAAGCCGCAGATGAAATGTGAAGGTCAGCAGATGACAGAAAAAGTTTGGAAACTCAGAAATGAATAAAATACAATATTATGTAATATGTACCATGTAATATAGCCTATGGCCAAATACTTAACCTAAAATTTACCATGAAGTAGGTAAACACTTCATAAGAGAAAAAAAAATCAGACTTTTTCTTTGGTAGAAAGGGAGGGCCAAAAAATTTTACGAGGATTTCCCAGATGACAATGAGCCCCTAACCCCTGCGATGTGGAAGGGATAACTGAATTTAGAAATACTGCGGCCTCTTCCAGACAAGACTATCAAGCACAACATATCAAGAAGAAGCCGTCATTAACTGTGTTAGGAGATTTACCAGTGTCCTGAAGTCAAAGCTGAAGGGGAAGAATCCATTTAAAGTAATTAACACCTCTGTAATACCAATCTTAATATGGACTTTTGGAATTGTAAAATATCTAAAATATATTTGGAAAGTTTCATGATAAACCCATATGGTATATTTTTAAAAAATAACTTTTTACTTATGTCTTTTGTTTTTGTACATCATCATAGTTTTTCCCAGGATCTTTTCCCCTCCCCTCTCCTAGAGAGCCATCTCATATAAACACTAGTATTTTTTAAAATGCAAAAAAAGAAGAGAAAAAAATCAGCATAGCCGTCAATATGTTGAGAAAGTCCTAAAACTTGTGCAACATGCAAAAACTGTGAACCTCCCACCTCCACAAAGGGGTAGGTTGAGGGTGGCCTGTTACATCTCTTCTGTCGCTGTTCAGTTGTTTCAGTTGTATCCAACACTTTGTGACATCATTTGGGGTTTTCTTGGCAAAGATATTGGAGTATTCCTTCTCCAGCTCATTTTACAGATGAAGAAACTAAGCAAACAGGGTTAAGTGACTTGTCCGGGGTCACACAGCTAGGAAGTGTCTGAGCCAGATTTGAACTCAAGAAAGTGTCTGAGCCAGATTTGAACTCAAGAAGATGTCTTCCTGACTCCAAGTGAGGTACTCTATCCACTGTGCCACCTATCTGCTCCCTCATACCTCTTTATTCTAGTCATGTTGATTTTTGTAATTTTGTTATATTTACATTTTTTTGGTGTGTGCATGTGGTTGCTCTTTTCCATTTACATTGTTGTAATTATTGTATACTGTGTATTGTTTTCTTGGCCCTGCTTGCTTTTCTACATCAGTTTATTTAGATTATCTCTGTAGTCATCACACAGAACACTTCTTACAACACAATAATTTTCCATTACATTCATTTGTTTAGACTTTCCTTAGTTGGTGGGCATCTACTCCCCCCATTCTTTGTTATCATAAAAAGTGCTGTTATTTTGGTGTATGTGGGGATTTTCTTATTAATGTATGTCTTCCTTGGGATATAAGCCTTGTAAGAGAATCTCTAGTTCAATGGGCATACACCTTTTAGTCACTTTATGTATATAATTGCTTTCCAACATGGTTGTACTATTTCATAGCTCCACCAACAGCATAGTACTGTGTCTATCATTCCCCAACCTCTCCGACAATTAGGATTGACATTATTGTCATCTTTACCAATTTGCAGTGTGTGAGGTAAGCCCCAGGGTTGTTTTGATTTCTATTTCTCTTATTATTAGTGATTTGGAGCATTCCTTCACATGGGGAAGAGGAAAGGAATAAGCATTTACACAGCACCTACTAAGTGCCAGGTAATGTGCTAAGTTTTTTTTTCTTTTACAAACATCTCATTTGATCATTTAATGTGATTGTGAATACTTTCTTTTCTTCTTTTAAGAATTGTTTTTAATCCTCTGATCACTTATCTATTGGAGAATGGCTATTAATTTATACATATGTGTATATATATTTTATTATTTACATATCTTAAATTACAAACCCTTATCAGAGAAATACAATGCAATTTCCTTCCTCCCCCATTCCACCAATTCTCTTCTTATCCTAAGTGCATTAATTCTGTCACTGTAGACGCTTTTCAGTTTCCTGTAATCAACATTATCTGTGTTATTTTTTGTAATTGCCTCTATCTCTTGCTTGGTTGAGAATGCATTGCCTACCTTTAGTGAAAAACCTATATACACCATTAATGAAACAAACCACTTTATCATTCTAAAGCAGCAATTATAGAATGACTATCACTTCCTTGCCAAAAATGAAGACAAAACCATATTGGAAACCCTGAAAATCAAAGGAGAGATTAATAAAATTGGAAGAAAACCACTGAACTAATAAATAAAATTAGGAGCTGGTTTAATAGGGAAAAAACCCAACAAAATAGATAAACCATTGATTAATTTAATTAAAAAAGAAAGAGGAAAACCAAATTATCAGAATGAAAAATGAGAAGGGTGGATTCGCCACCAATGAAGAAGAAATTAAAGCAATTAGTAGGACCTATTTTTCCCAATTATATGCCAATAAATATGATAATCTAAGTGAAATTGATGAATATTTACAAAAATAAAAATTGCTCAGATTAACAAAAATGAAGAAGAGGATTAATAGATATTCTTAGATTACATTATAAACAGGCTGAAAAGCCTATAGAAGTACTTTTAGAACAAGCATTGTTGATTTCATCGGATTTGTTGAATGTATCCAAAAGTGGTTTGACTCAGGATGGGGCTGATGAAACTACTGAGATCCAACTATGGGATGCAAGGGCCTTCCATTGGTCTGGAAGAACTCAACCAATAATGCCACTAAAGAAGTACTGAATACATGATTGAGTGACTAGAATTTGTTTGTGGAAATGGTGGAGCATATGATGATAATTCAGCATGAGGTCACTGAATTAAGTCTTAAGGAGCCCACACTTAGTAATCAGTGTATGTTATACAAGGAAACAGCAGGAAATGTATAACATATCATTGAAGTTGGTAAAAATTTGGCATCTAACAAAAACCTTACCAAAATGTGACGTGGTGGATAGAATTACACACAAGAAGCTCGCTGTCTTTCATGTTATCCTGGAGAACTCAATCAATATCACAGACTGAACTCTTTGTCATACTTACCTGAGAATGACATTGATCCACAAAAACTCAGGAACAATGTTTTCAATAGATGCCACCATACCAAATACTTGCAACCTTTAAGGTACACAGAAGAAAAGCTTTAAAAATATAGATATCTGGAAGACAAAATCATGCAGGGAAAGGATAAGATGCATATAATTCTTATTGCATTATCTGCTAGTGTAGTTGGATTGAAGATACATTCAATGAGCTTACAGAAAATGAGCTTATATCGTATTATTTTTATTCAGTTGCAAAAGTGAATGGTTTTTATATACTTGTGCAATAGTTCATATAACACTAAATATAAAATATCAGGATAGCACCTTATCCTAGGATCATTTCTATCTTAATACCAACAAAAAGATTAGCAAAATGAGATGAATCATAATGATGATGATGATGATGATGATGATGACAATAATAATATCTTACCTTTGTACTTTTCATCTCTCAAATTCCTTTGACGTTTATTTCATACATACACACTTTGAGAATTGTGGGTGGATTATAATACCCATTTTATACACTGGAAAAACTCAAGCCAAGCAATGTTAAAATCTCAGTGACAGAATTAGTACAGTTACCAGATTTAGACCTAGATGGAACCTCAGAGATGAGCTAGTTTAGCCCTTTCATAGAGGTAAAGTGACTCATCCAAGGTCACATGGTCAAATAGCAGAACTGGGTACTCTGACTTCAAATTTAGTCTGATTTCCACAACACCCACTCTGATGGTCCTTAAAAACTAAGGTCTTTTGTCTTGTGTAATTAATGTTTATTCCACTGAACTGTGTTGCCTCACCAAGAACAATTGACTAAGTCTGTGTTGAGGCTCTTTTTCTAGGAAACATTTTGGGTGATCTTTCACTTCTTTGGCTCACTGGTTCTCCTCAGGTGATGTGAGAATGTCAGTATCTGACACTCCACAGTAACTGCCACCAGTTCCTCTTACAAGTACCTAGGATCACAAAGCTTGAAACACAAAGAGTATGATTTACAAGTCAATAGAGTCATATAGGACTCATATCTGAGTCCATTAAAGGTAACTGTACTCTCCAGTGAGTAACCCTCCCTCAGAAGTTGTACATTACTTACAGTGCTGTCCTGGTAGGGTTCCTTTGGGCACAGTTTGGGGTTTTCTTTCCTGCACTGGTACTTCCTCCCATTGCTCTTTCATGTATGCCATATTGTTTGCTTCCTGAAACTCATCTCTTCTCCCACCAGTGCATCATTTATTTCTCCCTATGGATGCTCCTCTTTGGTGTAGTACTCCAGCTCTCTACTGTGATTTTTCCTTTTTAATTCTTTTTAAAAACTTTTGAACTTAGTAATCATCAATAAACATAAAAATTTAAATGTACAAAAAGAACAAGAGGCTACTATAAGAAACTGTGAACTTTTCTTATGTATGGAATTTTTTTTTGTCACCCCCCCCTTTTTTTTTGGTGAGGCAGTCGGGGTTAAATGACTTGGCCAGGGTCACACAGCTAGTAAGTATCATGTGTCTGTGGCCATATTTGAGCTCAGGTCCTCCTGATTCCAAGGTTGGAGCTCTATCCATTGCACCACCTAGCTGCTCCCATGTATGGTATATTTTAAAGAAGCATATATGCAATGTATATTATATTTGTATATGTGGGTATATAATTTAACAAGGTAATAACAAAATTTATTTTTACACTTTTAAATTTTTTCTTCTCTCTTTAAAAGGTTATATTGATACTCTTAAGTGTATTTACCCACTAACCTATCAAATCCATCCCCCCTTCTTCAGTAGAAGCCCTCCTTTATAACAAACATGAATAGTTCAGCAAAACAAGTTAACACACTGATTGAAAACATATAGTTATTTACCTCTCTATCAAGAGATGGGAATGTGTTTTATTATTAATCTCCACTGCAATTCTTTCAGTCTTGGTGGATCCTCTTGCTACTAACCTTTGTTGCTCATTTCTGCAGTTCAGTACTCCTCCAGCAGATGATGCCCATCAATCATACGTTATCTCTGCTTATTGTTTCCCAAGTTGTCTGCTCTCTGCCTGGTGGCATTTATCACCTTCACTGGGGGACCAGTTCTCTACTCTGGTCTTTTGGAACAAAACTTAGAGGGTGCTTTCTATACCTCAGAAAACACACTTTAGTCAGGCTTACTCTTTGACCTTATTTTGTATATTAGCCCTGCCTGTAGCAATCATTCCTCAAATTCACATGCTATTGGGTTGTGCTGCTAGGTGGCACAGTAGACAGATTGCCAGGTCTGAAGTCAGGATGATCATCTTCCTGAGTTCAAATCTGGCCTCAGCACTTACTTGCTGTGTGACCTTGGGCAAATCACTTAGCCCTATTTGCTTTAGTTTCCTCATCTGTAAAATGAGCTGGAGAAGGAAATGGCAAACCACTCTAGTATCTTTGCCTAGAAAACCCCTGAAATGAGGTCATTAAGAGTCAGTCATGACTGAACAACAACAAAATTGGTGATGGAATGGGGAGATAGAAACTTTTTCCTTGTAGTGTTTTAACAAAATCTCTATCTTTAATTCCGTACAAGATTATGGTATGCTTCTGTACTCTCTCAGAACATGTGATGCAATTATCTCTCATGCCAGCATCTGCTCTTAGGTCTTAGAGTTCAAGGGGTGCATTGTCCCCATCATCCTCCATCCATTCCCTGTTTTCCCTTGGGGCAGCTGTGTGAAGTTATTCAATTTACTCAGAGGCTCTTTCACTAAAACATCCTCCAAAAGTTTTGGGGGAGTCCTGAACGTCATTTCCCCTTAATCCTAGCGGAAATGCCTATTCTGGAGAGAAGATTTTTTTTACCCCCTCCATATATCATAAACATAATTTTACCCGTTTATTCTTATATATGTGATGCAGTATGTTTTTTAAAAAGGAATGTTTACTTCAGAATATATAACTACAAATATTCAAACTTACTCGCCTTACATGGGAGGCATAATCCTCCTCCTTTTGCACAACATCAGGCTTGGGGGAGGATTCACAGCTTAGCTTGGTTCCTATAGAGTACAGTCCCAGTTCCAAGTCCAAAGCCTCCTCAGGCTCAAGTTCCAGGCACCTTGACTTCTTAGGGTTTCCATGCTAGTCTGCCTGGCTGCACCACCCTACCTGCAATCCTGGCTCCAAGGTTGCCATGGCTTGAACCTTCTGAAACCGACAATAAACCAGATCCATTTCTGGGAGCTGGAGTAAAAGAGAGGTAAGGAGTTCACCAGTTCCTTTCTTGATGTCCAGTGAAAGGAATGGTGGAAAGAGGACTGGCCTAAAAAAAGGGCAGGAAAAAACAGTGAACAAACCCATTTCCCCAATTTTAAAGATGCAGGCAGCCAATCAAAGGAGACTACTCCCACCCACAAAGTAGAACATACAGCATACTTCATGTTAGGCCACTGGATATGCTCAAAAAGGCCCCTCTAGGGTGTCTCCATGTTAGAACTGGGCATTCCTAGAAAAGGCTGGCTAAATGTGTGAATCCCTTATTTGGTACAGTTATGCTCTTTTAAGCAGCTTTAAAACTTCCAAAATGTTCTCTCCATCAGTTATCTTTATTTTAAAAGCTTAAAAGTTTAACTTCTCATAGCCTAATCTATTTCAAAAGTAGTTGCATTTGATGTCATTTTGGTAAGTTCAACTAAGACACTCATTATACATAA